TGTGCGGCCGTTTAACCAATGACTTTGGTCATTCGTGGCGCAGTGGCAACGTTTGTCACTCGGGGAAAAAGCTTCGAACGAAAACGTTTTTTCTTGGGCCGAGCGCATCAGCCACCGCGTTGAAAGCATGTGTTATTGCTGGCATGCGCTGAGGTCTCGGGAATTCATTTTAAAAAAAACGCGACGAGCGGAAGTGTGCCTTCGCTGACATCGCCGTTAAGTTTGGGCAAACGGTTAAACATGATGTGAATAATTATGATGGAGGGGACACCCTGTAAAATTCTAACATTGTACGAGCTTAAGAGCAACGTTGTTCTCTCTGGTCCCAATGTTTCGAACCCATCAGCAAACTGTCCTCACCACTTGAAAGTCTGAGCTGAAGCTGTTCAGTGGGTCATAAGTTCTGTGATTCGTAAGTGGGTTTACCACGATGCATCAAGACTGCCTCTTTAAGTTATTCCCTACACAGGTTCATCACTGCATCCTATACTGAACAGAAATCTCATCAACTGCATCGAATTGTTAAGGATGAGAAGGTACGGGGGTTGCGTTCGGCATGAATGATGACCTTTTTTTCTGTAGAGGTTGTAATTATGTGGCTACTCTGAGTGGTTTAGCGGATATGAATTGCTCTTAGGTGCATTTTCCGGCATGCAGTTAGTAGAGAAGTTCTCTGTTGCTTGTACATGTGTGAGTAAAAATTGCAAAATTGGAAAATGTGGACAAAATATAGACTTGTAGATGAGTTGGCAAAAGAAACATCTGCTTTCGTGTGAAATAGACTCAATGCTCAAAATCCATGTAGGCCTATCTATTTAGCAAATGATTACTTTTATTTCCAGGAAGGTGAATTCAGTCGTGAATTGAAAAGATTAGCATACACTGTCCTGAATGTATCCTGCATTACATTGACATTTCAGTTCAGCTCGAAATCGAAAGCACATCTGCAATTCCGTATTCCTTTTAAGTTATCAATCTCTTTCGCTATTTGTGCAGGCGAATTTCCACGTAGTGTTATGCAACGGGTTCCTGGTCAAGCAATGGAGTTCTTATATGTGTTTACAAAAGTCAAAGTTGGGAACGTTTGATTGCAGAAATGGAACATACAAAGCCTATATAAAACCCTTTTTTGCTTAGCGTTGGCCACAACTGCATTATATTGCCTACGGAATGCTCTGCCTGGTACTCCCGGTAATCTCCACGATGTTTTGATCGGCAGATCTATTGTATGGTGTTCTACTCGGGCCACATTACACTGCGTGGTTAGAGTTGCACTATGCGATGGGAGTTGTTTGGCACTGCGCGGTGGAAGTTTTCAGTCAGCGCAGTGAGTGTTGTTTAGCGGCAAAGTAAGTGTTGTTACTGGAAATTGTAGATTATTAGCACTGGAACAATTTCTTTTTGTCTGGCATATTTATATATATATATAGAGAGAGAAATACTAAAAGTATAAGTACTCGGGCAGGCGGTGATATAAACCTAAAAAAATTTAAATAATCTTAAATGCACTTCTGATCTTAACATTTTCCTTTCGTTCTTTTTTCTATTTAAGTTTCCACTTCAAGACTACCACAAAATAGTTTCGTTACATTTAACACGTGTGGGAACACATCGAGTCACCTGATTGGGATGTAGAGATTTACGGGGAAAAAAGTCAATTTCTGACAAGATAGGCCTAAGCCTATTTCTCTTCAGGTCAGGCAATTTTTCAACTTCTTAACGTTAGTAGGCTAGGAAAACATTTTACAGAGGCCTTTTCTGAGGTGATTTTTAAAGAAATAACGAAAGAAAAATTATTACAACTTCTGAAATTTTAATGAAATTATCAATAAAATTTTTGCACATTAGTTTCCCTACCGAAGGATTCTGGAAGCGGTTACTTTTAGAGGTCAACTTTCAGGCTGTGTTAAAATGGACTTGGTGACCTCTTGTGATCATTCCATAAAAGCTCGAAAATTGGAGCCTACCATCAGATCGCGCTGCATAACAACTGTCACTGCGCAGTGAAACTACTCTTACCGTGCAGTGAAATTAATGATATCGATAATGATCGTGGTGAATTTGTTCCTGTATGGAGTGTGGGCATTCATTTTTCCTTGAATACTTTGTTTATACCGATTAAAGAGGGCATTACCATAGTATATGCGAATTTCTTTGAGAAATGCAACATCAGAAGACATTATGGTCAAGTGTGTTGAGAGCGGCCATGCAGCCGAATGCTCGAAACAGGGCGTAACTTTTAACCATGCATGAGCCATACGCCACAAAATTATTTTGTGCCGTAGCTGCCACGAAAAGTTACTTAGCTAAGAAAAGTTTTAATTATATTACATTTCTTGAACAAAACGATAAAGGCTTTTACGACGGCTGTTCCAATGCCATGTTACAACAGTCATGAAACAGTCAATACCTCCTCCACGAGGGGTACAACTAACCCCAGAGTTCTAGGGGTATTCTCCGTCGGAACTGGTCAAAAACACAAAGTTTTCTCACAACTAGGCAACTTGTTTTCTTTACCTTCTGAAACAAAGTTGAAGTTTTTTGCATTACCCTTAAGTTTAGTTAAGTTTAGCGACGATGAACCTTAACGGTCCGAGCACGATAAGTTAAGTCAAATCATTCATTCTTGTTTAGTTTGGCGCAACTTACGTTGCCTATTAAAAGTGACTACATATGTTAATTATTATGCCTTATGGCCTACTTATTAAGTTTGTTGCACCGACGGGGGCTCCGATAGGCTTATCCGTCAAGTCGGACTTACTGACTCGTGACGTATGACATACGTTGTAAAATAAAGGCTATCAAATGAGGGCGCGAGTTGCCGGGCCGAGCGCTACAACCGTCTAGTGCGTACCGCGCCGGCTGAAGGGATGGTAGACTAGGGAAGAGCAACGTAAGTCCGACTTGATTAAAGTCTAGTCTGTGTGTAGTCTTGGGTCCAAGACGCCTTTCGCAGTACGTGCTGCGATCCGATGTAGCCTATGTGTGCAGTGCGAGATTTCACTGTGAGCTCCCATTTGAGGCATACAAGTTGCTGGAGGCAGCGATTCGTCTGGTAATGGTTCTTCTCGCGGGCTAAACTCGACGGTCTTGAAACCAAGACTATAATCGTTGTGTAGCGGCATATGTACACGTCCACATAATGCGCTGCACTGGACTCGTTGACTTTGACGTGTAGGTACCATACTAATTCAAGTTATAGTAGTTGTAGAAAGCGGTGGAAGTGATAAACAGGAAATCTCTATTTAATGATGCTACGTTATGAAATGATGTGAATGTTATGAACGATATTAATAATATTAACAATTTTACAGAAAATCATCATCCCAGTTTTGGGGTTATACCATTTTGGTGTTTAGAATCGATACAAAATGGTTTTGAATTTTTGTGCACCTTTAGGACGGTAAAATTTCGGGGACATTCGAAACGACCCAGTCCTTGAAAATTTCAGTCGGTGGATTCAAAATAAATGCATGAAATCAATGCACTAAGGTTGGATCCTGAATTTTG